GAACCTATTAAGGGAATAGATAATGGTGTCAAGAACAAGGAAAGCAAATTGAGTCTAACTACACCACATGGTTTAAAAACACCAAAGTAACATAGAACATACTGCTGAAAAAGAGAAACTATCCAAGCAAGTCCATCCTAAAAAGGTTGCCAATGTGTACTCCAATATCAATGGGATCCAAAGGAAACTAGAGGTTCCTATGATGGTTGGTGTTTCTAGAAATGGGACCATTGGGGAAAGAATAATCAGAAATAGTAGCTTCTGTCCACGTGATTTCATTTGAACTAAGTTTCTTTTGCAACCATTCCCCAAAACACATAAATATATACTTCTTACCTTAAATAACTGCATGCTTCGATCGTGTCCAACAGACAAAACCCGTTCTTTTCGTAGGCAATCAATACTTAATACTTCTCCTTGGTGACCAAATAATGTATCTATGTAAGCTCTATCTTCAACGTTCCATATCTTAACTGTTCGATCATATGAACCAGAAAAAAGTTCTGATGCCCCTTGCCTGAAAGTTAAACATGAAACGGGGCCTCTATGACCTGGAAAAGCCTGTTAAAAAACACAAATGCTGATTAAGAAACTCAAGAACTCATTGTTTCCAGATTCACAAATGTTGCTTCTAATAGAATTTGAAGAGAGAAGATGGAGAGTGGGTATGTACATGATAAAATCAGAAAATCACAAATTTTACTGTAAGACTTAAAGTTGAGAAACAATATTTCCCGAGGCCTGCCATTTTAGTATTTTCTTTAGGATATTTTCTAGGGAGTTTCACTAAAACACCCAAAATGGGGGCTGAAATTATAAAAAAACCCAACACCCAAAACACTTTATAAACACACCCAAAAACCATCATTACACACACTCAAAATCCATTGATAAACACACCCAAAAAATATACAATTGTTGATTTTGGGGTTGATTTTGGGTGTGTTTCTATGTTTAAATAGTGTTTGGGTTTTTTTTATAAATACATGTCTAGGATTGGGTTTATTTATATATTTGTATATTTTCTAAACTATAAATCAGAAAATCAGACATAAAACCTAATCCGTGTCTTTAACTTGGAAATGCATCCCAATAGATCGACAGATGACTCAGCTTACAAAGAACGCTGCTTTGCCAATAGAAAAGCATGTACTTCTGTTGGATCAAGCAAAAAACATACTTCTCTTGTTGTTTAAAGAAAATAAAAACAAAACAGGTCATTTACATGATTTGCAGGTAGGCCCTTGCCAATACAATAGAGATTTTACTGTTAGTGAATTGTCCTTACAGCATGAGAGGTCACCTGCATTCCTCTAACCTGATCAATTTAAGTGCTTTTATTAAACTAAAACCTCCTAACAATTTCATATATGTTCATATATTATTCTATTCCATAACTAACAACGTAACCGACCAATCATATCTACCTGAATATGCTCTTGTGTACGAGTATCCCACAAATGAATATGGCGATCTAAGCCTCCACTTGCCAAATACCGACCATCAGAGCTAACTGCTAGAGCTAACACATGTTTACTATGCTTTGTGGCTCGACCTTGCGGATCCTTAACCCCATGAGACTTTAATACTTCATCACGGGGCCATAGATACCTTTCACTTTTCCCACTATCTACATCCCAATGAAGAATGGTGCCATCCTTAGAAGCTGAGAAGCCCTTGAAGTCATCCTCGGACAGAGCCACAGCAGTAACAGATTGTCGATGCTTCACTGAGATCCGAAATTCATCAGTAGATTCAGGCTTTTGAACCCTGAAATAAGAGGATTAAGCATGACAATTAGAAATATGCTACCACAAATTAAACTATAAAACAATCCGTTAGAGGGCATACACTTATCCAGTTATGGAGCAAAATCCAGTTGCTCCATTCTACGTTAAAAAAAATAAATAAATAAATAAATTTCCCAATATTACCATCAAGCTTACGGTGTCAGAGCTTAAGCAAGAAAGCTGATGACAGCATCTGATCAAAGTAGCATTAAATCCAAAGGGGAGTTTATAAAGTTCACAACTTTGAATCTGAATACCGATCAAATGCCACTATAAATTGGTCGAGTTCCAAAACAATAACACCACCTACAATCTAATCAAAAAACAAAATACAAGAACGAAATTGATTACCTAGAAGCAATGGCACGGCGAACTCGGCCACTGTCCTCGAGCTGCTGCTGCTGCAAAATCTTGGCAACAAGCGAGTCTCTCTCGCCTTCCTTCTCACCTTCTTCATCACTCTCATCCTCCTCCTCTTCCTTCTCCCTCCTTGCTAATCCTCGAACCTTCTCCAAGTACTCTTGCGCTATCCTCTTCCTCTTCTCATCTGCAGTTTCTTCTATAGCCTCAGCCTCCTCAGCTTCCTCTCCACCGCCCTCCCCATCCGATCCAACGACGCCATAGTCGTCGTCTGAATCGCTCTCTATCTCATCACGGTCGATTTTTCGGCGTTTCTTCGATTCAGTGCTAAAAAACGAGTCTTCATTGAGAGAGTAAGTCTTGCTCTTTTTGGCTGCCTTAGGTCCCTTGGGAGCTGAGCCTCCTTTTTTCTTGTTCTTCATGGTTGGAATGTACGGAATGTGAGGCAAATGCTGCTACTTCAGTTGCTAGGGTTTTACTTTTGGAGGGTTTAAGGTTTAAGCGGCGAAGAAGACGGTGAAGAGCTTCTTTAGCGTTAGAATTTCGGGTCATTGGTTGCAAATACCCATTTTAACCCGGATTTGATTGATTTGAACTCTGTTGTTGCAAGCCCATCAAATAGCTGTTTCTTTTTTCTGGGCTTCCAATGTTTAGTGAGTTGGGCTTCTACATTTTCTGAATTTCCAAAATTACCCTTGACTGCTGCCTACCTTAACCAAATAATTTGATGGCAATTAACTTCTTCCAAATGTTAACGGTCAATCACAACATCAATTCACTTGTCCATTTTCATGATCTAACGGTTGAATTATGCTACCAATTATCTATAAGTTTAGTGATATTTCTATTCTCAATGTTGACTGAAATTGAAAGAATAACACTGCTGAGGCTAAAAAATAATAATAATAATTCACGCTTTGGCCCAAATAAATTCTCGATCCAATGCAATACCTTACCGAGAAGAAACCTGATTTGGGCACGCGAAAGTTCATCAGATGCGCTTTCACACATGCCACGCCAAGCAACACGCCACGCCAAGCAATGAATTATTATTCCGCACCTAATCACGCCATAAGCTTAAGTGGGCCCCAAGCCACTCAAATACCCCGAGCTTGCTTGAGTGAGTTGTGGTATGGATGATAATAAATCAACATGAGGACCATTAATGGGCCGAGAAATAGAAGTTTTAGGTTGCTTGGGAGCCTCGGGACTCAAGCTCATTTCTTAGGCCCAAACATATGAGTGAGCATAAAAGAGGAAATAGCCCATTAACTTAACTAAATTAGCCCAACACCTCAAAAAAAATAGTCCAACACTTGAGGTTAGCCTATTTATTTTGACAAACCAACCTATTATCTTAGAAGGCCCATACAATTAGAAAGAGAAGAAGCCAAAGCCTCAGCTCCTTGCTGGAAAAAAAACAGAAGCCAATGAGATGTCCACATATGCATAATTGCTGGAAAGGAACAAGTTCCAAGTACAAAACACCCGAAGAACCAAGGGATATTAACGTGCAAGCTGCCATGAAGAGAAGCACTCTTCGAACCAGCATACATACCCCAATTCATTCCCCCATCAGACCTGGCCATGGAAAAAGGAAAGAAAGAAAGGAAGGAGATGACTAGGAATGGAAGTCTCCCACTGAAACAGCTGCGGGAAAGGGGCCTTGAGCTCCCAAAATTCTTGATTTTGTGCAAATAGATAAAGGAAATTTCACCAAGATAGAAAAGTCAAGGGATGAGAGGAGAAAAAAACACCCGAAGAACCAAGGGATATTAACGTGCAAGCTGCCATGAAGAGAAGCACTCTTCGAACCAGCATACATACCCCAATTCATTCCCCCATCAGACCTGGCCATGGAAAAAGGAAAGAAAGAAAGGAAGGAGATGACTAGGAATGGAAGTCTCCCACTGAAACAGCTGCGGGAAAGGGGCCTTGAGCTCCCAAAATTCTTGATTTTGTGCAAATAGATAAAGGAAATTTCACCAAGATAGAAAAGTCAAGGGATGAGAGGAGAAAAGAAGAAAAAGCTTGGCCAAGTTGGGAAGAAACCATTAGGGTTTCTTGGGAAAGGATAGTTTCCAACAAGCTATAAAATGAGGCATCTTCTACCCAACAAAACTCAACTCAGATTTAGAGAGCAAGCTTTCTCTTTTACCTGCAAAAACCAAGCAATTTCGTGCATTATTCATCCTTCTTCTCCATTTTCCTATTCTGGCAGACCACTTTCACATCTGTCAGAAGCTTCGTCAAGCTGCTAGAAGAACATTGTTTTTTCTTTCTCTCTTCTTAGCCAAATCAGCCTGTAAACCTCTTCTTCCTCACCTTAAACACTCCCATTTCTCCCTACGAAGCCATATTTTCCTCTATGATGCTAAACTCATGCTGATTTTGTTTCCATGCCACAAGTCTCTCATGTCAAGCTAGAAAATTTATCTGTAAGCATCAAGAAATCATCTGTAAACTGCTGTTATTTTCATTGGTGAAGGTAACCAAGGTGTTTCCTAAGGCATCTTTGTCCTTTCGAAGCATTCTTGGGACTTGATCTTCAAACTCAGGCTTAAGGGGCAATTTCATCCATCTGCCATTTACGGCAACTCAGCCCGTTTGTAGCTGCCAGAAGAACAAAGCCCCTACAAACACCAAGGGAGAAAAATGAAATGTGCAAAAATATAACCGGACAAGAGTCCGATTTAAAAACGGCATTTATATCCCCAAAAAATAGATTAGATTAATTTAGAATAGGTTTTTCACGATTTTCTTTTTAATAGTTTAGACGATTTTCTTTTTAATAGTTTAGACTATTGCTTGTATAAAAAACGACATTTATATTCATCACACAGCACTATCGATACAAATCCTCTCTGTATATTGAATAACATGATGTGGAATTAGTTCTGAATTTCCACAACCCATTCATCCCCTTTTACAGAATACAGTTACAAAAATATCACAGAATGTCGCAGCATATTGGAAATTTTAAACAAAATGGGAAGAGAATGTTGCAGTTCTAAGTTTCCCTCGGCACCTAAAAGAATCCAAATATTGAGGATCGATTGTTTGATCTATTAAGGGGGAAAATAGGTTCCCTCGTTAGTGGCATCACTAAAACTGCCGAACTAGCAGCATCTGCTAGTGCTCAGAGGTAACATCTCCTTCTGAGCCTCTCCCTTTCTTCTTTCCCTCTCCATGCCTTGACCGCCTCGGTGCCTCATCCTCACTTTCACTATCATCATTTCTAGAGTTGTTACCAGCACCGTACTGATCTTCCCGGTAAGCCTTTGATGCTTGCTGATAACGTGCCTCATCATCTGGTCCACCAGCTGAACCTGGAATCTCTTGACCCTTCCCCTGGCCTGAGCCAGCACTATATCTCTCATTTCGATCATTGGAAGGTCCCCTTGGATCTCTCTTCTGCATCCTGTTAGTGTTTTGAGATGATGGTGGTGGAAACATTGGAGACATACCAGTTGGCCGACCAGGCCGGCCTGGATTTGCACCTCCAACCCCCATGCCTCCCATAAATGGTGCACGTCCAGGACCCATCATCATCCCATAACCACCAGGTGGAAATCCAGGTTGTTGTGGTCGCCCACGAAACATCATGCCAGGCGTGGGCCCTGTAAAATCACCAGAAAACCTGGGACCATATGGATTGAAACCACGAGGGCCCACACCAAAAGGATTTGGCATACCAAATCCGTCAGGTGCAGGTCCATAGGGCATTGCATCAGCACCCATCATTCCTGGGGGAAAACCCTGCATCCCAGGCATAGGTCTACCACCTCTTGCTAGTGGCATGTGAGGGGGCCACATGATTCCTCCTCTGCCTCTTCCTCTGCCCTCATTTCCTACCCCCGGAACTGGACCAAAGCTCTCTTCCTCATCGTCACTTTCTTCCTCTTCCTCCTCTTCATTGTCCTCAAATGGGACAATGTCTGGGTTCTCACCACCATTCTCCGGATTGACTCCCTTTGCTTTTTCTTCTTCGCGTTTTGACTCTGCCGCAATTGAAACTGCCTGTACACAGGCAATGATATACAACATTCAGTTTCATCAAGTTGTGGACATTGAATATATTTTTTTAAGAAAGGAGACTTAATAGTCCAAAACAATTTTTGTGCTGCCCCCGTGCACTAGAGTAAAATTGACTCTTACTAAACTGATAAACACACTGTAAATATTTCTGTTTCTAAACCCTGAAACATACCATAAGTTCACTATCTGGCTCAAGATAAAGCAAGGAAGCCAACTGCTCACCAATGGAGGGCTCTAGCTCTTGACAATCTCTACTTATCTGCAATTGTACAAGTATGACAATAAGCTCAAAAGCTAATTTTATTTGTCTTAAGATACGTCTACAGAAAGTAGTATCACATCAGCCAGCATACATGTTCAGAATAATAATGATTGCAAGTAAAAAAGCATGGTGAAACAGCTAAGAAAACTTGGGCATGTTTAGAAGTTATTAAAATAGCGTCCTATCAGACAGTTGCATTTAAGCTCTATATGATGCATCAACACTTGTATATTTTTGTAGCACCTAGCCCAGGCACGGTCCCATAACATAATCTGTGTCATTGGGCAGGATTCTATGGTATGGTTCAAGTAATGCAAACTAATTTGTTCATAACACACACACAAACCACAAAGAGACATACAAAAGTATGTCCATACATATATACATATAGATTCTTGCATCGTAATTTATTCACACACCCTGAGACTGGGTTGCTGCTGTGATTTATGCCATTTTAATTTACGGTTTTTTTTTTTTTTTTTTTTTTTTTTGGAGAAGAAACGAAATTTATTACGTAAAAGAACACAGAGGTGGAAAAGGCAACCACAACCGAAGAAACAAAAACAACACAGAGAGAAACAAACAGCACCAATCCCTCCCAAACTAACAGGGAGGAACAAAACTGTTCAGTATGCGATGTTTTGTTGTTATTAGTTTTAGCTTAGTACTCAAGACTGTTCAGTGGACTCCTAGTCCTGTATTGTAACTTTCATCTAATCAAAAACATTATGTCTTTTATAAAATAAAATAAAAAAACTACTCATACACCCTCAGGTATTCAACTTGTGGACTCACCCTCCAGAAAATACTACTTCAGGGGAAAGGTGTAATTTTGCCCAAAAGGCCTTGGCATGCATGATCAGTAACACATTACCACCCACATACAGAAAGGTTCTGAAGATCATCTTTCAAAGTTTTAAGTCATAGTCCAATAACCATCACAGTTATTAACATACTAGGATGGTGATGGTGAAAGCAAAACCAAATTTCAGGAAAAGCAAAAAACAAATAGTAAGATCATGTTTTCGGCTGATTGAATCATGGATTAGCATGACAAACCTGCAGCCTACTGATACATGCTGAAAATCCTGACAGAAATAATGATTGGGTGACTTCACAATCAATCAAGACAGAACACACAAAAACTAACAGAGTTTACATGAGTGGATCTATAGTTTTAAAGCTCCAGATTGTACCTTTACTGGTAAGTTCTCATTGTAGGGGTTCCTCAAATGACGAGTTTTGTGGAAGGACAGTTCACATAGCTGCACAAGAAAAACTGCAATTCGTCATGACATCTTATCATTTTACTGCTTATTAGATTTAAACTTCAGCTGTTCTATTCTATTAGCTTCTCCTAGTTTCCAGATGGAGTAGCAGTCCCAACTGAACCTTGGCTCAGGTGACACACAGGAGAGGGTTAGGTTCAAATCTTATGAATTCAAATACTAAAAGCTCCAAATAATTTTAAGCCGAATACAAGTACGGCCAACTTGACTCTTGATTCTAACCAACAATAGGAAGAAATAGAAACAAAAATAGTAACTATTAAGATACAAGGCCTCAAACAAATGAAAAAAAGATATCGTCGATTATAACCAAATGGGCTCACGTAATCAAAGTATTCTATTAATGTGATGGACTAATAATTTATTTTGATATTGGTCCCCAAACAAATATCTTGAAATATTAATGTAAATTTTCTAGTCTGTAACAATAAGCTCAACAAGGAGATGAGAAACAAAGCCATACTCATCACCATGACCCAATCCATAAGAGTAACCACAACAATAATAGTAACACATAGAAGACACTAAGAACTACAAACTTTGTGGGATCCTGTAGTCGCCATCATTTGCAGCAGAGAAAAATAATCAGAAAGGGGATGCAAATTCTAGATCAACACATAGAAAGTTTCCATAAAAAGTTCAACAAAATAATACCTTTAACCATTTGACAGAGAAATTTCTCCCATAATGCGCAGATCCATGTGCATATTTCCAGTTCCCTCCACTAACAGACCCACCAATTCTGGACATCATCTTTGCACAACCCTAACAAAGCATAGGTGATTTTAATTCTAACACCTCCAGTAGATTAAAACCATGGATTTGAAATAACTTGATAGAAGAACAAAATAGTAAGCTACGAGAAACACTGGAATTTAATTTGCAATCCTACCTGGAAATGTCGAGTCCGGTTGACTGAGAAAATTAAAATCACATTTTCAGCAGAGTCAAAAGCTTCATTAAGTTTGGACTCATTGCTCCTTTGAGTTGCCCACACTCCTTGTTGTACAGATAATTCCAAATTTTCACGGTTGCAACTTTTAACAATAAAATACCTAAGGTTTGATATTCCAAATAAATAAGTACATTCAATCTTATAAAAACAGGTGCACTAATTAAACATGGATAGAGGAACAGACTAAAGTTATTCTATCACCTTGGAAGAATCATATGACTACTGAGTATTGTCTACTACAGAATAAAATTTCACGGAAAAGATGATAATTATAGTAGGGCATTAAGGAAATTTCCAAGTAGCAGTTTGCCCATGCACTTTTTTATAAAAATCCTTGAACCTATACAGCCATCTTATAGCATAACTCCAAAAGCCAATACTGAGTGTGAAATTTATGTGTAACAAAAAATAATTTCAGCTGTTTCTTATTACATCTATAGCACCCACAAAAGTAAGTCTTGCTACATATTTTCCTTCTTCTGAGTGGAGTGGAAGAATAGAACAATAGAAGAGTAGATCATTCATCTTTCAAAACAAAATAAATTAGCCCAAGAGCTTAATGGGAAATAGCAACCTCCCGTGTACAAATCATAAAGAGAAGTAAACTACATATTGAAAAAGCAAAACCAATACATCACATGGTCAAATACAACTTGTACAGAGTAATTATTTATAAAATTAACTAATGCGGGTTTAAAGAAAGCTAGTTACAGCTGACCGCAGTGGGCAGAACTCTCTTGGGAAAGTATTGATCAAACAATTTATCTTGATAAAATGCCCACAAAGAATACAGAAACTGATTTACACATCTAATAAAAAACCTTGGGACTCTGAACACACCTAGATATTCCTTGAGGCAAAGGCGCACTTCTATTTGCCTGATTGACTAGGCCATTGGGTAGATTTTGTGTCTGCGTGTGGCCAACCTGTTGTTGGGTTTGTTGAACCTGTTGCTGCTGGTGGACATTAGCAGACTCTCCTGTTGAAGGTTTTCCAACCACACCTTGATAGATGGAATTGGGGCCTTGTGCAGACTGATACTTATCGGCTTGTTGGGGAAAGCCAGCATTCCGTTGTTGATAAAATTTATTTGAGGTGTTGTAATTATAAGAATTCAAATGCTGAATCTTCTGAAGGACTTCTTCCACAGGAGGTGGAGGTCCAGGCAGCTTTGCATGTCTATACCGGCAATCAGGACCATTTGGACAAAACCCTAACTTGTACCTGCAATGACAAAATCCTTCCATAAGAACATACACCCTTGATTCACACATTGATGGTTTCTTCACACTGGAACTAGACTTTCAAATAATACAGAGGAGAAACAACAACTACAGATAATTTTCTTCCTTCAACCCTCCTCTTATGCACCTTGAATCTACCAAATCAGGGGGTCCAAATACCAATAACAACAATTTGTAACACAATTGACCTCATCCGTATCACAATAAAGCACACAATTCTATTCAAGTATATTCAATCCTACCCATTAATCTCCATATTAGAATCACCAAATTAAAACCATAAAATTCAACCAAATTAAAAAACAGAGAGATGAACGCGGAAACGGGCATAAAGGAACAAACACATACATATTACACTCTTTAATGTCCTCGTTGGTGTGCTTGTACACGCAATCCTGCTCCCTGCACTCGCCGTACAACCTGAAGAAGCGGCACACAGGCATGCGTGACTTGTCGTATTGATGGAGGAACCCACAGGCCTCGCCCTTCATGCAAAGGCTACGCAGCCAGTGACGGCACACCGTTTGGCGGTAGCTCCGCCCACCCGACCGGTTGGGATTCGG